CCTTTGTGTTCGACCGGGGAAAATGACGGGGTTTGCTACCATGAGTTCGACACCACACGCCGGCCACGGGAGCGCATCGGCTTCGAGGGCGAAGCCTTCCGAACCGGGGGAGAATGGTGTAGAATAATATTAGTATTATTATTATTGCTATTATTATTATTATTATTATTATTATTATTATTATTATTATTATTAGTTATCTTGGAAAATAAGTTAGGCTTAGATATTATTATAAGATCTTGTCTTGTTGGACAAGTTAGAAATAAGATTTATGAGCCTTATATAAAGGACTCCCCTCTTTTGTTATCTGAAGTTAGATATTGAATAAGAAAATGAATTAATGGTGAGTTTTACGTGTTTTACGAGAGAGTATCTCGTTTACTCGTTTATCCTTCCCATTCGTACGCTTTCCCTACATCACATTGTCTCCACCCGACGTATATATAACTTTTAGGTAAATAAAACTATGATGATTTCGATTTCTAAAGTTGGCCAATACGTAAACACTAGATTTATATTTTTATAGATGGTTTTTTCAAGTTTAAATTTAAAATTTTAGTTATCCCAAGTCCATTTTTCCATCCTGGGGAAGAGAGTGCGGTCCCACCAGATGAAGGCGTACTATAAGAAGGTGAGCTTTATATTTTTATAGATGGTTTTTTCAAGTTTAATTTTAAAATTTTAGTTATCCCAAGTCCATTTTTCCATCCTGGGGAAGAGAGTGCGGTCCCACCAGATGAAGGCGTACCATAAGAAGGTGAGCCTAGATGCACTTTAGTGAGGTTCCATCCCAAAACCAATTGGTGATAAGAGGAGTAGCCCACTACGCTTATATACTAGATTCATTTTTCCTATAAAATCAATGTGGGACACTCACAAGTGATATTCCAACATTCCTTAACGGTGTTATATTTTAAAACCATATATAGCATCGACAAAGGCTAGATCCCGTATGCACTCTTGGCGCTAAATCCCAACTTTTCGTCTAGCTGAAAAATAGAAAATTAGCGGGAAAATAAAAAATAAACAGGTGGAAATAGGAAAAATAAAATATATATATATTTTTTTTCTTATCAATAATACTATATTTCTGATCTGAAAAAGAAAGGTAAAAATAATAACTCAAAAGAAAACCAAAAAAAATGACTATACAATCCTCGCTTAGGGTGAACAAATTTCGATTGTACAACAAATGATTCTCTTCAATAAAACACTGTCGTCACTTGTGTCAAGCTTATGAAAGGAGCTGCAATAAATGTTTACCAGAAGAGATGATAAGAATTGCAGCGGCCTCCCAAATATTCGTATCCTATAAAATGGATATTCCTTTTCCTTCAACAGATAAAACTCGCCCTATAAGGCTAAAGCACTGGCCTTTTTCACACCAACAATTCGAAGCTCACAGAAAATGGAAGGTCGCTGTGTTTTTACCAGTTCAGTTCATCTCATCGCGGCCTTAATCCTCGTTTCAGCACTTGGGTTGTGCGACGGCGGGTTTACGAGCAGCTATGTGCGGCCAAATGGGCTGAGCCAAGATATGCCTTTGGACAGCGATGTTCTTCGCGAGCCTCCAGGTTATAATTCTCCTCAGCAGGTGAAAATTGAAGAGCCCTTTTGCCCGTTGTTCTTATTTTCAATGTTTTTTTTCTTTTTGGGTGCAAATTTTATACATTTTGCAGTTTTTAGGGGAAAATCTTGACCATCCCCTGTTTTTTAGGGTTGTCGATTTTGATTTCTTTTGTGATTTTTGAGGTGGGATTCTGTTTGCAAGGTGGATCGTAAGGATAAGAATTGATGGTATCTGATATGTTTACGGGAGATTCTACCGTCCCCGTTACGGAACCATTCAGTCGGGTTTGTAACCGTTAGATCAACTGTCCACGAAGGTTACATGATGATTTAATGGTTATAAATCTCGATGAATGGATCCGTAATTGGACTGTAGCATTTTCCATAACACACTTTATGATGATTGACATGATTAAATGATAAATCAATGGAACAGTATATGTGATACTTCAAATTGATTAGTAAGGCTGTTTTTAGCTGGGTTAACCGTTAGGCCTACATACTTCTTCTCAACAGAGTTTGGCAAACGGCGAGGCCGTTTGATATTTCATAGAACAATAATGTATTTGGTTTGAAAAATGTATGATAGGTCGACCCGCCTAACGGTTAGGTCGCCTCGCACAAGAATTTGTGTTAATTCTGTGCATGTACTAATGGAGCTAGATGATATTCATTTTCTACACCAAGAAAAAAAAAAACATTTATCGACATTATATATTTCGAACATCTCTTATATCAATCTAATGTTTGCTTGATATTTGAAGGTTCACATTACACAAGGAGATCATGAAGGTAGGGGTGTTATAATATCTTGGATCACACCAAATGAATCGGGTTCACGTTCAGTGCTCTATTGGGCTGAAAACAACCCGATCAAGCAAATCGGATATGGCATTGTTGCGAAATATAAGTTCTACAATTATACCTCGGGTTACATTCATCACTGTACTATTAAGAATCTTGAGGTACCGCCCATCACTGTACTATTAAGAATCTTGAGGTACCGCCATTTTTATTTGATGCTATAGCCTATATGTTCACATTGATGTCTAAAGTTTTTTGAAACAAGTACTTAAACTGCAGTTCGATACGAAATACTATTATGAAATCGGAACAGGAAATGTCACGCGGCAGTTTTGGTTCGCTACTCCTCCTCAACCGGGCCCGGATGTTCCTTATACGTTTGGTCTCATAGGTAATGATGTTTATATTCTACTGAAATTGAAATATGAGAAGGAAAAAAGAAAAAAAGAGGTTGATTGCATGTGTTAATGATGTCTATATTATACGAAACAGGTGATCTTGGTCAGACTCATGATTCAAACCGGACTCTTACTCATTATGAAATGAACCCTGTAAGAGGACAGACGATTTTGTTTGTTGGAGACCTTTCTTATGCCGATAGCTATCCTTTGCATGATAATACAAGATGGGACACTTGGGGAAGATTTGTCGAGAGAAATGCAGCCTATCAGCCGTGGATTTGGACTGCTGGAAATCATGAAATCGACTTTGTTCCTGAAATCGTATGTTTTCTTTAATATGAAATATATATATATATATATATATATTTTCATTTCGTATCATTTTTATATTGATTTTCTTTAAGGTAAAGTTCCGAAAATTGCAAAACTTTCAAATTAAATTGGAAGTACTTATTTCTTACTGTAGGGCGAAACGAAACCTTTCAAGCCGTACAAAAATCGATTTTTCACACCATATAGAGCATCGGGAAGTACTTCTCCTCTTTGGTACTCCATCAAGAGAGCTTCCGCCTACATCATTGTCCTCTCTTCTTATTCAGCTTATGGTATCGAGTTTGTCGATTTTATAAAAAGAAAAAGAAAAACAAGTTCGCTGCAGATAAAAGCAAATTTGATCCAACATAAATCATAATTATATCTTCGTTCTTCTTACTTTCTTTCTTTCTTTTCTATAGGTAAATACACACCACAATACAAGTGGCTCACGAGCGAGCTGCCTAGAGTGAATAGAACAGAGACTCCATGGCTGATTGTACTAATGCACAGCCCTCTGTATAGCAGTTATGTACATCACTATATGGAAGGAGAGACTATGCGTGTAATGTACGAACCGTTGTTTGTTGAGTACAAAGTTGATGTCATCTTTGCTGGCCATGTTCATGCGTACGAACGATCTGTAAGTGTATCTTGGTTTACGTCTGAATGTATCAAATAATACACTTCTTTTTTTTTTTTTTTTTCTTATAGACCAACTTTCGGATATTTGGGATTGTCAATGAATATACATTTGAGATTTGTAGTTTAGAAAGACACTATGTTTAACTTATATAAGATTTTTAGCAAGTGCTACCATATAAGCTTGAACTCGATTCAACATTTTACATCACACTTTACATTTTGTTGGCAATAGGAACGTATATCCAATATAGCATACAATGTGGTGAACAGATTATGCACTCCAATTAACGACGACTCGGCTCCAGTTTATATCACTATAGGTGATGGAGGAAATCAAGAAGGCCTGGTCAAAGAGTACGTCGAGTGTAAACTCCCTGTTTAAGACTTATTCGGCTTTTTTTTTTCTGTATTTAATTTTGGCTCTTGTAGGATGACCGAGCCACAACCGAGCTACTCAGCTTATCGGGAGGCTAGCTTTGGGCATGCAATTTTTGATATTAAGAACAAGAGCCATGCATATTTCGGTTGGCATCGTAATCAGGATGGATTTGCAGTCGAGGCCGACTCTTTATGGTTTGTTAACCGGCACTGGAAGTCATCGGTGGAAAATACTTGTTGTGGAGATATGAAAAATTTGATATGAAGAGTTTGTTTATGTGTTATTTTGCAGATTGTTTGTTTCAGGACAATTACCTCAGTTGATGTTTGTTGTAAGTTGTTACTTGTGGTTTGAGAATTTTGGTAGTAATTATAGCTTTAGAGGAACATGGTAATTTGTCACGTGGTTCGGGTTTCGTTATCATATGTCGGGGCATGAATAATTCGTCACCCGATTAATTTGTGTGTCGATATATTCGTTTTTAGGTATATCCCAAATATAAAATTTGGGCAAACCACATTATGCAAATTACAAGTTATCATTACGCAAATCAGTAATATTACCAACTTCTCAAGAAGTCGAAAACTTCAAGAGTCGAAAAAAAAAATAATAACATAAGATTAAACTGTGCAATCATAAAATTCTCTCTTGAAAAACAAAGAAAAGAAAGAAGTCCCCCTTGGTAGTTCATCCTAAAACATATACATAAATCTGACCAAAAAATAGGAAAAAAAAAGAAAAAGAAAAAAAGGCAAGGAGATCCTCTTCACAAGGATAGAACTCGGGTAGTTTACACCTTACGACGAGAAATTAAGATTAGGCTCGTGTCTAAATGATGAAATGCCGTCCAATGGTAGTTAAAATTTTTACTCCAAGACTAGTGTAATTTAATAGAAGTATCAAGTAGGCCATTATATGTTTCGGAATAAATGAATCATATATGAAGGTTTTACGTGCAACAATCACCTTGAAGCCACCAATACAACGCATATCTCAAACGATTGCTTCAAGAAAATCCAGAAGGCTTAGCTCTTGAGAAAATCCTCCAAAGAGAAAGGTTGATGATGCCCATCCTAATTATATTGGAAAAAGAACAAATAGCACATTAGATTAGATTCCAGTTATACGTAATGTAATACAGGAAACTATATGTATTTTACGTACTTTCTTTGCATATATCCTCTCATATACATCCTTCTTAAATATGAAAAATACTCTAGATTTTAAGTGTCCGCTTTACATCAGTAAAATAGTACATCTTTCAGGAGAATGCTAAACCTCATGACAGCATTCCTCATTCACAAAATGTCTGAAAAACGAAGTGTGATTCATAGATAAATGCATAGCAGAAAACAACAAACTTCACACCTTGTTGAATTCTTGATTTAAGTACTGTCTAACCACGGTTGTCTGCTGTATTAGCCTTTCCATTGCTGAGTAGCTGGGTTGCTGAGTATGAGCTGCAATATGACGAGCAAAATAAATACCATAAAACGTACTGAAATGATGAATACAGATTGGGGGAAAAAAATAGAAGAAAGAACAAATATTCTCAGTGCTACAACTTTAAAGAGAAAAAGAAAATACCAAGAATTGCTCTGTTTAAACTGTTGGCTACGTGGTGTCGATGTTCCGGGCTTAAAAGATGGAACAGTGGGGATTTCTCGGGTTCCTGATATGCAAGAAGACCGGCACAGTCCTGCAAAAAAAAAAAACCATGAATATTATTAATACACAATTAGCTCGAAATATGAGGGCAAATTTACAGATTAAACGAAAAATGTATTGGAAATGACATATACTTCAAGCTTTTGAACAAGTCTCTGCTCTTTCCCAAAAGGAGCCATCTTGGAGTTTGCAAATTCAAGAGCCTCGTCACTGTAAAAGAAAAAAAACGAGGTGCGAGTAAAGTACACATCTGCTTAAAACCTCTAAATAAAACCAACCTTACTTACGTTTTTCTCAAGCGAATAAGCCCAACAAAATGAAGTGACAATAGATCAATATGCAAATCCTCATTCGCATCCAACAAGCCAGGGGTATATTCTTCTGTCAACTTGATAGCCTCCAATGCATTCCCGTTCAATGCAAATTGGTGTATTTCTGCAGGTAAAAAATTTAAGATGAGGACCAAGGTTACTTGAGTGTTAATTTTGGCTCCCACAAAGTGCATTATAATTTATACCAGCACTTTACACGCCAAGTTCATGAAAGTGGAAAAACTATATAATTAGGTGGGGGTGTTACTGAAAGATCCTTGCAATGGGAAAAGCATCTCTCATCTCGCAAATTTTTCTTCTTCTCTTGGCCCTCGTTAATTTATTTTAGTTTATAGCAGTGCTTCTTCTAGAACTCCATCTCATAAAGTTCATTACTTCATAAGGATCTTCGACATAATGCTTGATAGCCTAAAGTCACTTCCCATTACCATGTTACTCTCAAGTCCTTTAGAAAACTAAGGGTGTGATAAGGATATGCTTTCGTCAAAAAACTTTCCTTCAACTGGAGAAAAGTGTTTGAACAGAATTCTTAGAGGGATCAAGAATAATTCGGAATGTGTGATCGTATGCAAGAGAGAAATGGAATAATAGAGTTTCCTGAAAAAACAATATATTCCCACAGGTTCGCATATGCTTTTCGCGTCAATCTCTACGTGGCACATTCGGAATACCATATAATTACAAACATTAAAGAATCAAATGAAAAAGATCCATTAAACTACAAGAAAAAAAGAATTCATTGCCTTGAAGGAATAGAATAAGAAATTTGACAAGGGCCCTTACGTTTTCTTTTCTCCAAGTCCTCAACATGACTAATGGTATGTTCCTCCCCAGTACAAGCAATGAAAGACTCAAGCGTGTCTTTGTAGCAATTGTGCACAAGATATGATAGAACAATCTTGGTAATGTCACTACTATTCACATCCTGCAGGATAAGTAAGCATCACAAGCATGACACTAGAAAAAGGCGTGAACTGAGTATTGCCGGGCACTCTAGTGAATTTGAGTCTGTTTCATGAAACCTTTTCGTCACTCCTATACATATCTTCCCTATGCTCAAACCGGAAGACATTATCACGGCAAACGGGCACCTTCACATACATTAAATCGTATTCTTTCCAACTCGAGAAATATTGCACATCACGATTGAAACTCGAAAGACCCAGAGTTCCAAGAATCAAACCTCAACCAACACTTCAGATTATAAGGGTCAGAAAATAACACATACATAAACAATCCCACTTAAATTCTCCTCACTTTTACAAGATACCAAGAAACCTATGTTCTGTATACATTTTGATTGTTCCTTGTTCTCTGTAAATTTTCAGCAGAATTGAACATTGTAATTTGCAATTTATACAAAAAAAAATTGGGAATTAAGGGCACATACCAATCAACACGATGATACAATAGAATGGGCTAATTGACAACAAGTTCAGACAAGCACGAGGTACAAAGTAAATGAAAAAACATAAACAAATTGCGTCGAAAAAACATCGGACAACTGCCCAGAAAATCCTGAAAAGTGTGACTTACAATGTTCGGGTCAGCATCCATTTTCGTCACTCCCCACAACACAGTAAGTCTTCCCTTCCAATCTCTGTTGAGAAGGAAAAAACGCAGCAAAGCCCAAAATAATTTGAACACCTGATACTGGGGAGAAGATGGAAATAAACGGAATGAGAGTTGATGTTTTTTCAGAACTCTAATAATTGGCGGTGTCCCGAAAAAACAAAAACAAACAAAATAATTAGTATCACAATATTGGAAGATATGCTACCGTCCCGTTACGGAACTATTCTGTCGGGATTTATAATGTTTGGATCAATTATTTTATATAATGATCTAACGGTTATAAACCTTGACGGAATAGTTCCGGAGACTGTAGCATTTCTCCACATTATTAAGATTTTAGGTCAATTTAATTTGGAATCCCACTTAAAATTATAAACACACTATGTATTAATATATGAATAGAACAATTTAACATAATTTGTTTTAACATGATAAAGGTAAAAATATAAATTGTTAATTTAAAGTTGATGTGTTGTTAAAACAACATTATGAAAATTTGATGTGAATGTGTTAATTTTTTTAATTATATTTTTCCATGGCTGTTTTTTTATTGAGAGAAAGAGAAGTTACTTATTATTTTTTTAAGAGGACCAATAATAATTCATCGCTTATTTTATGTATGACTAAAATTCGAGACATATTGAACCCAAATTAAGAGTGCTACCACATATGCATACATGAATTAATAGCGGAATGAGTTTATTTCTTAGTTGTATTAATAATTATAGATATTTTATTTATAAGAATATAAAATATTTATTTTTATTAGTTTTTAATATAAATTATAATATCATATTAATAAGTTCTTGAGAATATTTGATTTGATACTCATACTAACATTTATAAAAGTCTATTAATTATATTTATTGATATAAGGAGCATTGATATTTATCTTTTAATTTAAATTCATAAAAACAAGTGGCCCTAAAGATTATTCATAACTATTTTAATTATATCTATTCATACAACAATAACAACAAAGTCTTTTAGTCCCAAACAAGTTGGGGTAGACTAGAGATGAAACCCAATAGAAACAGTGGTTTAAAAAAAAAAAAAAGAGATTGGAGCAAACGAGAAAGGAGCAAAAGTCACGGTTCCGGCACGTTGATCGCTAGCCTCCAAGCACTCCTATCAACCGCTAAATCCTTGGAGATATTCCAATTTTTAAGGTCTCTCTGAACCGACTATTCTCAAGTGAGTTTAGGCCGACCTCTACCTCTCTTAACAACATCGGCCCGCTGAAGAACTCCCCTACGCACAGGTGCATTATAAGGCCTCCGTTGGACATGTCCGAACCACCTCAGCCGATGTTGAACCAATTTCTCCTCAATTGGAGCCACCCCGACCCTATCTCGAATATCCTCATTTCGGATTCTATCTCTTCTTGAGTGCCCGCAAAACCAACGCAACATCCGCATCTCTGCTACACTTAGTTGTTGGACATATTGCCTTTTTGTAGGCCGACATTCAGTACCATATAGCATCGCCGGGCGAATCGCCGTCCTATAGAACTTACCTTTTAGCATTTGTGGCACCCTCTTATCACAGAGAACACCCGAAGCTTGACGCCATTTCAACCAACCGGATGCAATTCTATGCCTAACATCTTCATCAATGTCGCCATCCTTTTGTAGCATCGATCCTAAATACCGAAATGTCTCCTTCTTGGCCACCACTTGCCCGTCAAGGCTAACGTCACCACCATCATGAGTAGCCATGTTGAAAGCGCACGTCATGTACTCAGTCTTCGACCTACTAAGTCTGAAGCCTTTCGACTCTAACGTGTCCTTCCACAGCTCTAACTTCCTATTTACCCCTGCCATATTCTCGTCAACTAGCACCACATCATCAGCAAAGAGCATACACTATGGGATATCACCTTGTATGTCCCTTGTGGCCTCATCCATCACCAAGGCAAATAAAAAATGGCTCAATGCTGACCCCTGGTGTAGTCTTATTTTAATTGAGAAGTCGCTGGTATCGCCCCCACATGTTCGGACACACGTCATCGCATCCTTGTACATATCCTTGATGAGGGTAATGTACTTAGATGGGACTTTGTGCTTTTCTAAGGCCCACCACATGACATTCTTCGATACTCTGTCATAAGCCTTATCAAGGTCGATAAAGACCATGCGCAGGTCCTTCTTTTGGTCCCGATATCCCTCCATCAACTGTCGTATTAGGAAAATCGCCTCCATGGTCGACCTTCCAGGCATAAACCCAAATTGGTTTTGGGTCACACTCGTCACTCGTCGTAGGCGATACTCGATAACCCTCTCCCAGAGCTTCATCGTATGGCTCATCAACTTAATCCCACGGTAGTTACCACAGCTTTGAACATCACCCTTGTTCTTGAAGATCGGTACTAAAGTACTTCTCCTCAATTCATCAGGCATCTTGTTTGACCGGAAGATGAGGTTAAAAAACTTAGTTAACCATACTAACGCTCTGGCACCCAAACATCGCCACACCTCAATAAGGATACCATCAGGGCCCATTGCTTTACCTCCCTTCATCCTCTTCATAGCCTCTTCGAATCTCTGCCTCTCGGATTCTCCTCACCAAACATCTATTGTTATCCTCAAATGAGTCAACCAACTCCAGGGTAGGACCCTCACTCTCCCCATTAAACAATTTGTCGAAGTACTCTCGCCATCTGTCCTTGATCTCCCCATCCTTCACCAGTGGTCGATCCGACCCATCCTTGATGCATTTGATTTGGTTGATGTCCCTTGTCTTCATCTCCTGAATCCTAGCTATCCTATAAATGTCCTTCTCCCTCTCCTTCGTGCCTAGGCGCTGATAAAGGTCATCATAGGCCTGACCCTTCGCTACACTCACGGCACGCTTTGCAGCCCTCCTCGCTCTTTTATAGCTCTCAATGTTGGTTGCACTCTTGTCGAGGTGGAGACGCTTGAAAGGCTTTAATTATATCTATTCATAATAACTATATAATATATCAAAAATTTTGGATATTTTGAAATAATTTTGATATATTGTTACATAACATGTTCAAAGTTAAAGGAGCATAGAGATTTTCAATATGCATACTTTTGTCGATATGAGTTGGGGCCGACATTAGCACGTCACTCTACTTATCCCTCAAAATCAAATTGGCTTATATCTTCTATGATCGAAGCCTCAATTTTGACGTTGATCGCATAGAACTTCCTTTGTGCCGATCTCATGTCGCATACAATTTCATTCGTGTTGATATCACTATTCTATGTGAAAAAGTCCAAGGTGAAATGAGTTTCCTGAAACTGATAATCGTTCAGAGTGAATAAGGTCGCCACCAACAAATCTAATACATGTCGCATCCCAAAAAGACGTGTTGACACAAATCACGATGCATGTAGAAGGACACAAATCATGATGACTTTTACTTTTTACTTGGTATAAATTTCAATAACCTCATCAACATTAAACCACAAGAAATACAAACGAGATATACGATAAACACATTAGCAATTACAACATACGCGATGAAAAGTGAAAAGCGTAATACAAGAATCAGTTACATTCAAAATTTGTTTTATTCTCTCTGATAACGTTAACCAATTGTCGTTATTATGTGTCATTAAGTTTTAATACCAACAAACTAACACTAGAAGAAGGGCTTTTTTTCTTTTAATCTGTTGGAATCCACTCAGTTGTTGTCTCAACTTTGCAAGTTGTTCGTTTTTATGCTATGTGTCATACTGTCATCATCGCCAAATAATTCTAGCAACAATAATGACAACCAGGAGAACAACCTCTCCCCTCCCTGATGTCAACCAACTTTTTGTCAGTCTAATTTTTATCGAATTGGATTATCGACCTCTTTTTCCAAATCTTCCATAATGCCTCACCCGAAAAATCAAATCATCCTAAATCAGAAAATCCTTCCAAACCAACCCATAAAACTGTTGTCCCCTAACAGTTTGCCTTCCATAAGGTAGACTCCCACGCTCTTTGGGGGATGTTTTAATACCCAACTTGGCCTCCGCTAATAAAAATGCTCCACGTGGATATATATATTAAATAAATATAAATAACAAGTTCTGCTTTATTAATATTAAATGAGTCCCCAAAAGTCAAGACATATTAGAGCCAAGCAGAATTCAACGTCATCAGCCCGACCTGGATATCATAAAGAATCCGCCCCGACAGACACAATAATTGCCGACAAGACAAATACAATCGATGTCATTATTTATTTATTATAATTTTTGGGCCCTGCGCGGTCACGTTTGATTTATTACGTTTGAATTTGTAAAATATGGTAAAAGCCCAACATATAAGGGCCCATTAGACACCAAAGCCTATTAGATGTAAAAGCCCAGAAAAATGAATGTGTGAACGGGCTTAAAGGGGCTTTTTTACTTTTCTTTTCCTTATCTGATAAAAAGGCGAGGCAGTGCCTTTGTCTGGGGGAGAGGGCCATCATCTTAAAACTAGGGGGGCTTCCCTTTGGTGGGGAAGGCCAGAGAAACAAAACACAAAGAATTTTTTTTCTTCAATTTCTCTCTAATCTTTTCATATAATTATTCAACAGAAAATTATATATACAAATTCTACGAATATTATGGGTTGATACAAAATCGCATATCAACAGGGGACTACCAATGGGAATGACAAGACCGTTATTTTTCGCCCTCAATGGGGCATGGGCGAGAGCTAGGCTCGATCTGATGCTGAATTTGGTTCAATCAATCCCTTGATGTTTGAATAAGCACATTGTCGATCTGGAGGCCCAACAGGAGCGCCGTCAACTGCGTACATTCGACTATTCTTCCTACCTCTCTTTAGTCGGTCCTTAGTTTGCGGTCGACCTGAAATCTCCACTCTCTCTACATATTCTTTACGAGATGTTGCCCACCAAAATCAAAGTCCTTCAGATTGACCTCTATAATAGATACATCAATCCATATGCATACTTGAGGCAATACACCTCATGTATGGACTTGTAAGAGGCCAACGACGCCCTTTGGTGTCGTACTGTTTCGCATAGTTGGGGAAAAAACGGAATGGTGGTATCATTTGTTGGACTTGAGATCGATAAACAATTAGGACCAACTTAGAATGGCGTTCCACATCAATTCACTGGCTTCCATTGATCCCCAATGTATCCATAGCTAATATCATGCAAGGGGGCAATGAGAGCTTGAAAGATTACGTGGCTAGGTTTAATACAAGAGTCCAAAACATGGAGCCATGTCATTCTGAAATGCTTTTGGTGGCGACATACACCAAACTTTGCCCCAACTTTACGTTTCGCCAGTCTGTATACCAAAATGAACCAACGACCTATCCAGAATTTCTCGCGATAGCCCGAAAACACATAATCGCCCAGTAATCAATGTTGTTGCCAATCTTTGGGGCCCTCAATGCATCACATGTGAAGGCCATAGAGGAGCAATTTTCTAAGGACTTGAAGATCATGAAGCCTAGGTGCACAAATTATGGCAGCCTAGTGAAAACAAGAAAAAACGGTGGCTAGCTAAAATAGATTTACTATGTCGGAGTCGCTGCCATTTATAAAGAAATTAAGAATAGGGAATAGTCCCCGATATGCGGTCGATTATGAAGGAAGAGTCCGCATTGGGCAAGTCTCGGTATTGTGCCGATCATAAGAGTCATGGGCATAATATCGACCAAGGATGAAATTTAATTCGACTCTCCTCAAGGCAATCGATAACCCCCAACTCGACCGATTTGCCCGTCCACAACAATAATGTAAAATGGCAAACAAACGATGAATAGTTTTTGGATTAACATATATATGTCATGGCCAAACAACTAATGGGATGGACCTACGTAAGCCAATTCATCGTGGCGCCGAGTTGAACCGCGCTGGGTTCATATTAATCGTTGTGAATCTCAACCGCAGTTTCAGCCAACGTACTTACATCGACAAACAACTCGCATGGTCAATACAAGAAAGTAAGAGTCGACTCAATCACAGAGATAACAATGAGCATATGCTCGCCAATCTTACAAATGACCAACACAGTGAACCCGTGAGTCCAGGCGATGCAGGTGCAGATCTACGTATAAAAATTACAAACCAAAGTACAAAAAATAAAATTTTTTATGAAATAAATTAAAATATCTCGATCATTTTAAACAAAAGATATAATATTCACAACATATGTGAATTTTGTTTAGATCATCGATCGAATATATGAATTTTGTATAATACTTTTTGAAGAAGATGATATCAACATTTCATAAACAGAGACTCAATAAGAGGAAAATTTGAAACAGATTTGAAAATTCATTAGGCTTCATAAACCGTCGATCATTTTTGTATTGTTAAGTTGGGATATTTTATTTCTTTAATGGGCCTTTTATTTGGGTTTTCGACACCATAATTAAAAATTCATTGGGCTTCTTATTTTGGCTATTTTTTTTTTTAATTTTAAAAGTCTAAGGCTTGTTTTAGTATTTATGGCATGTTTATTGGGCTATGCATTTTGCTCTTAATAAATTTTTTCTGGTTTTGTAATTCAAAATTAATCTATATCTATATCTACATCTACATCTATATAAATAAACAACTAATATAAGAACATAAAAAAGTCAATAAACATTTAATACATTCTATTTTCGATAGTTTTTCCAAAAAAAAAAATTATTATTGCCCAAAAAATAGACAATCATAAATGCACTTGAAATTCTGTCAGTTTTTAATATTTTTAATTAATTGCATAAAATCTGTCAACCTAAAAGTACCGTAAATTGATGGTTTTTTAAATTTATGTTAGGTAAATTCAGCTAATGTTTACGTTTTTGTTGAATTCAAATTTTATTCTCATTATTTATTCGAAAAAAATCTGAATGCATACAAAATCATTTATCATTTTGAATTTCAAATTTAAATATTAAAATTACTTATCTATTGGGCACTATAAAATCTAATCTATTATCTATGATGAGTTTTTCCTAATTACAACAGATTTTGAGTAATACATCAAATATGATTTTTCGATATTAAATTTTACTATTTAAAATCTCAAATGTAAATTATTTAAAAATCGATACTATTACTTTGGAATTAAACATATGAGTTTAGATTATTCTTTCAAATTTTTATACAATGTAATTCTAGGTATACTATCTGGGTCGATAAAGACATATTTAAATGTACAATATATTTTCTAAAACTTGGAAGGACTGTAGTGTTGTGCGACTTACAAAAAATATTGTTGTTTTGCGTGTAAAGAATAGAAAGGGTTGAAAATATTAGTACGTGAGAACAAAGAGTTGACCAGTAATCAAATTACTAATGTTGTGTACGAGTAGGTCTTTTAATAATATATATTGTTGTTCTGTCGAATATTATCTTGTTGTACAATTTTCCTACCTATTAAAAATTTTTATTTAATATATGTGCATCTTATAGTATAATATTCTCTAAATAAATATTGCTCGTGCATTGCCGGAGTCACACACTAGTTACTCTTTTATAATAGGTCTAAATTTATGGAACCAAATTTACAGTTTTTCAGTGAATAGTGTAAAAAGTATCCCTCATGAACGTGGTCGGCATTGCAGCACTATTCCAATTCATGTCAAAGTTTGAAACTGAGGTCTGTAAATCGCCTTTCGCCTTTAGTCAATTGCACGAAATTCATAAATGTCAACGGTCTGCTTGAAAATTTTAAAATTGTATAAATTTATATATATATATATATATATATATATAATTGTTGGCAGCACCATTCCAATTCATCTCAAAATTCGAAACTCAGGTCTGTAAATCGCCTTTCGCCTTTAGTCAATTGCACGAAATTCTATAAATATCAACGGTCTGTTTGAAAATTTTAAAATTGTATAAATTTATATATATATAATTGTTGACAAGTTTCAATAAATTTTATTCAAGCTAGCAATTAATAATAATATAAGTTCATTTATTAAAAACATGTTCACTATTTAATAATAATATTTAACTTTTAGTTACACAATTTTTTTTGACAAGTTATTTTTGGGATGATGCCCATTTCCGTAACGTCTTTTTTATGTCATGAAATACAAAATATTTTTTTTTTTTGATACAATATATTTTTTGGTAGTATATAAATAAATATTTCACAACTAAGAATGATTAAAAGTATCTATATTTTCTATTACAGTCATACAAAAATAAAAAAAAAAATATTTCTTTCGAATATTACAAAGATACATCAAATATTTTGAAAAATCAAATCTCAAAATCACGAGTCGAAGAAATTTAACGATAATGATTTGTTGTGATGGAGTTTTTGACGATAGAAAAACCACGAATATTGTGTTAAATAAGTGTTTAATAATTTTTAGATTTACTTTTTTTTAAATTACTAGTATTTTCTATCATTTATTGTTATGATTTTTATTTTTTTCTATACTTTTACTTACTTTCATTTTTATTATATCGTTTTTCGTGCAAATGTTCGTTTTTCTAAAACTAGTGTGAGTTGATAACAACAATTAATTGAATTTGATCTCAAAATTCGAAACTCAGGTCTGTAAATCGCCTTTCGCCTTTAGTCAATTGGACGAAATCTAAATTTATATATATATATATAATTGTTGGCAAGTTTCAATAAATTTTATTCAAGCCAGCAATTAATAATAATATGATTTCATTTAATAAAAACATGTTCACTATTTAATAATAATATTTAACTTTTAGTTACACAATTTTCGTTGACAAGTCATTTTTGGGATGATGCCCATTTCTGTAACATCTTTTTTATGTCATGAAATACAAAATATTTTGTTTTTTTGATACTATATATTTTTTGGTAGTATATAAATAAATATTTCACAACTAATTAAGAATGACTACAAATATCTATATTTTCTATTGCAGTCATACAATAATAATAAAAAAAAATATTTCTTTCGGATATTACAAAGATACATCAAATATTTTGAAAAAAAAATTTTAAAATCACGAGTCGAAGAAATTTAACGATAATGATTTGTTGTGATGGAGTTTCTGACAATAGAAAAACTACGAATATTATATTAAAGGAGTGTTTAATAATATTTAGATTCACTTTTTTAAATTATTTTCTATCATTTATTGTTACGATTTTTATTTTTTTCTATACTTTTACCTACTTTTATTTTTACTATATTGTTTTTCGTGCAAATGCTGGGGAGTAAAACTAGTGTGAGTTGATAACAACAATTAATTGAATCTGATCCCCTAGGCATTTTGGGCCGGACATATGTTCGTATACTAATCGAGCAAACTTGTCTATTTTGGTTACACACCGCCTCACATAGCTTAATAAATACGAGACCATGATATGCGCCTCACTCTTTCTTCCTAGTATTCTCTGCTTACATTAAACGCATAAAAGAACCAGAAAAACCTCGGGATTTTCGATTCTTTCCTGTGAAACAGTTGTTGAAAAATGGCCGAAGAGGGACAGGTGATCAGCGTCCACTCCGTTGACGAGTGGAAGCAGCGTATCCAGGAGAGCGTCGACAGTAAGAAACTGGTAAGCCCTCTTTCAGTCTTATGTTGATGATAAATGATTGTAAATTCTGGGTCAGGTGTCCCTTTTTAGCGTAATGTGTGAATCAAAGGATATTTGGATGATTTAGTTTGTGTATTTTCATAATTTGCATTGTATGGTTCTCTTTTGTGAGTTTATATATGTTAGGGTTTTAGCACCAATGATGTTGTGTGTGTGTGTGTGTGTGTGTGTGTGTTTGTCTTCTTCTTGTGTGTTATGTCGATATATGTTGAAATTGTTACCAATTTTGGGGTCTTAAGGGAGGCGATTTTTGTCGGGATTTTTCATTGATGGAAAGATGATTAAGATGATGATGATGAAAAATTCTTGATCAGATATCTCCTGTAAGTGTTAATGTGTGAATTGAGGCGTGTTTGGGTATGTTAGGGTTTAAGTACAAATGATGTGTGTGTGTGTATGTGGTGTATCTTTTTTTATGTATACTTGTGTCGATATGTTGAATTTGGTAGAGGGAGGTGATTATTGTCAAGATCCATCTATTCGTTTTATAGTGGACACAGAAAAGTGAATTATTCAACTGGCTCTCTTGATGTTGTTGAGGGCAAAATATTGTGGCTTTCTTGATGTTGTTGCAGAGTATTATCTGGCTTTTATCTCTATTTAGACCAAATTAGCATCCCCAGTTGATATCGTCACATATCCGTTGGGAATAAAATGTGAAAAAAAAGGGGTTCTTCTGTGAGGTTATGTGTTATGAGTGTGATAGTTTCATGCGAGATGCTGCTCGCAATCGATTCCCCTGAATAGCCTAAAATGAATATGATAACATTTCTTGTGAAGAAAAAAGGTCATTTTATCTCTTGACATGAGTATTTATGATGGTGTTAACTTAGGCAAAAGCCGAATTCTTGCATGTTGTTCTTATTTGATACTTCCAGCTTATTTATGTTTTAACCATCCGATTTTGGCTTAACGTTTTATTGAGATTTGTTTTGTGTATTATTATTTATGTTTCTTATTGCAAAAACTTTTCAATCAGGTGGTTGTTGACTTCACGGCTTCATGGTGTGGGCCGTGCCGTTTCATTGCTCCGATTTTGGCTGACATTGCCAAGAAGACACCCCATGTTATATTCCTCAAGGTTGATGTGGATGAACTCAAGGTACCCTTTTTTCGACTTTTACTTCTTACCAATTTGTATCATTCTTTTGTTTGATTTTTAACGAGTTGAACTTCAGAAATTAAAAAAATAAAAACAAAAAAAAATCTAGTATTTATATCGAGATTGTCGAATGGGATCTATTGATTAGTTAGTTGCTCATCTTGTGTGAAAACATTTTTGTGCAGGCCGTGGCTGAGGAAAATCAAGTGGAGGCTATGCCCACCTTTTTGTTCTTCAAAGAGGGAAAGGTAGTCGACAAGATTGTTGGTGCAAAGAAGGAGGACTTGCAGCTGACAGTGGCTAAGCATAGTACCATTACTGCTTGAATTTGCTGATCCATTAGTCAGTCGTGCTTTATTCACGCGTATAATAAGTTATTAAGGGATTCGTCCCAGCCTTGCACTTGTTTGGATGGTTATTTCAATGTAATGGATAAGTACATCTGCTGAGGTTTCTTTGCTGTTATCTGGTGTGATTTTTCTTGTCCTGGGATTCAAATTAGTAGGGTTTTAGGTCTCAACCCCTCATGACACCTAAGTAAATATTATCTTTCCACAAATGATTTTATAAGGAAGCTTAATGAATAGACGGGTTAACCCGAAATACTATATCAACAAAATTGAATACATTATAACATTAAGTATCATACTTTTGTTTGTATCACTTCTTTTAATGTTTATATTGTTTTTCATAGTATGATATTTTTAAATAGGAGTATCAGAAATTCTATGGAGAGTCTTTCTTACAGAGTCATTCATGATTTGATGTATTAACATATGTCAAAAGTGAGTTTAAGTGTGTTTATTGTAGAAATGGGATTGTCTAGACTAGTTTTATTTTTGCATTCCTAACAATGAAAAATGATTTTTGAACAAATCTCGCAACTCAGAAATTGTTCACCATAATTGTAGTTATCTCTCTTTAAAATCAGAGATTCCTAAAAGCTCTCCCACCCGATCATGAAGCCTCCCGTATGCCGGCGTCAGTCTGCCGCTGTGTTGACTTCACTAGGTGGCCGGCGAGTCTCCTTCTTCAATGTCCCCTGTAGCCCGGTGCGGCATTTCTAGCTCCTAGCGGCCATGGCGGTGCTTTGGCGGGGTCCCGACATAGTTTGTTGGGCTCGAGCTCGCCATGGTCGTCCGCTGCCCTGGGGCAGCTGGCGGGGGAGTTTGTGGCTGTGTATGCTGCTCGAGCCATCCCGTCTCTTGGTACTGGGGCGGGTGGTCTGACAGTGGGGCTTTGGGTTGTCGGCAGTGGTGGGCAACTTACTACTTCCCGCCGGTTTGGTGATGGGGGGCCTCTTCGGCTAGAGATCGCGGTGAGGATTGGGGTGTTTTGGTTGGAGAAGGTTCGACTTGTTTACGGGTTTAGTTAGGCCTTATTTGTAGATTATAGTTTCTAGATCTCGACTGAGTCGTGTTTCTTCTTTTTTGTTTTTTGTTTTTTGTTTTTTGTTTTTGGCCGGGACCGTTCTTGCGTTCGGCTCGGGGTTTGCTAGCGGTTGTGAAGGGCTATTTTTCATTTTTTATTTGTTCGAGTTTTCATTTATGTGTCGTTTGTAATGTTTTGTGGTGGTTCTATGTGTGTTGTGCTCTTTTTTTATGTGTTGGATGTTTATTCTCCCGTTGTGGAGCAAATATTCTCTCTTTTGAGGAGGTTGTATTATCCCCTTGGGAGATTTTAAGTTGTTTTGTATTGTAGATGAGTTCACGCAGTTGCTTATAAGCTACATCTGATTAGTTCTCCCACTAGAATCATCTGTTTTGGCTGTTGTATTGGCTGTTTGGCTATTACTATTGAAGTCTAGTTGTAATTATGTATTTTTAAGTTTTATAATATGCGTTTAAATAATAATAATAATAATAACAATGAAAAAATAAAATGAAATAGGTCTTTTCAAGGTACTAATAGCTATCACACAACCACAATATTTTATTTTCTTTAACATCACCTAATTCTTTAAGATTGAACATATGCATAGCTTATGCACTCTCCTAAATTAATTAACCATGCCAATAACCACGTCCACATTGAACATGGACAACTTATGTACCTTTTCAAATAATGCATTACTAGTATAACGCCCTGAATTACACGAGAGTTCGATAAAATATTAATTGTTCAATAATAAGTGAAAAATAATTAAAATTCTTACCGTAAAATTAAAAAAACTATAAATAATTAATAAGACATTTTTTTAACATTATTTCAAATTGTAGAATATATTTTTATGAAGTATTATTCGTTTTATTTAATTTGTATTTATTTTTGTTAAAATTAAACATAATAATTAATATATTCGATAGTTAATAGAGTACACGTAAACAACACGGGTACTTGAAAATCAAATATTTTTACCAAAATAAAGAAGTGAAGAAATTTATGTTATTTTAATAGAATGGTAAAAAATAAAAATACAACTAATTACTAAAAGTAATAAAGTTATTTATTTAAATAACATGTTTTATAACCAGGGACAGATATATGTATCCCCGGGGCTGGGCTCAAGCCCAGGCCTTATTTTTTTTTAAACAATTGTTATTATTATAATTTTTTAAAAAATATATATATATTGTATTTTCAACCCAACCCAATAAACTAACTCACTAACCTATTAAAATAATTCACTTATTGATTTAAGTCCAGATACTACAAACTTCATTCTAATAAAATATTATATATTTTTTATCCACCTTTTCCACTAAGCACAGACCCACAAAATATCACTATACACAAACTTCAATCAAATAATTTAGCCACCGCCATGTCCCTCCTTTGGACACCAAACAATGAATTTAGATGAACAAAAAAAAAAAATAAAAAAAAAATTAACGATTTAATTACTTCTTTAATAGTAGGTTATATTTTTAAACTCTCTATTATATATTTGTTTCATTTGTTAATTGTTTTTATCTATCTTCTAATTTCAAATGTATTATTTGAGTTATAATAGTAACTGCTAGGATCATTTAGTTGCAATTTTTGTTTTATTGATTGTTTATGAAGTAGTAATTGTGTGTGTGTGTGTGTGTGTGTGTGTGTTTTTTTAAATTTCTTATCCTCTAGCGTGGCTGTTGTATTTCATATTTGAATTCAAATTTATGATGTGTATCCATTTTATTTTGCTAATAACCATAGAATATCATTTATTTGTATTGTGAAATTTTTAAAAATTCACATGAAGCACCAATATTCGACTAAGAAAGGAAACACCATTGATATCATCGTTCTTTAGAAAACGAGATCGACGAGATCAATGTTAAACTAGTGAAAACACGTAAAATACAATGCAAAATAAGATTAATGAATTTTCTTTGTAAAAGCTCGCGAGTCGCGAGCACAACTTTAATGAATATTTGAAGAAAAAATATTATGTGATTTTTATTGAAATGAGTTTTTAAAATTCTAGCTCAGTCTACTCTTAATTTATAAATTCGTCCATGTTTATAACTGACTTGTCATGTTTTTTTTTTTTTAAACACACACAAACACACACAGACGGGCACACACACACACACACATATTTATTATGTATTTACAACTCAATAATTTAATTTTGTATTGATTTAATTATTTTCAAGTTATATTATAGTTTAATTATATTTTATAATTATACAGATTTCTTTCCTCATCTAATAATTTAAAAATATCTTTAATTTTGTAATATTCAAATAATTGGAAATATAATGTGTATGAGATTAACTTTATGAAATATAATGATTACTTTTATTATTCTATTTATAATGTTTATTTTGTTTTTGTTTTCATGATCGTTACAATGTGCATTCTCTGTGTAGTCTTTATTTGAATTAAGACATATACTTTATAATATTTTTTATATTAATTTGATATTCATACT